CGAGAGCAAACTTCGCAACCGCCCTCAAACATTCGGCCATTACCAAACAAAAAACGCTTCAAAAAAAAAGAATGAGTCTGCCAAGCAGACTTGGAAACCCTCCGCCAGTCTCTCCCTGACCTCCGGAGCTGGCAGCACCCCTAAGCGTGCGGCGGAAAGCTTCTGCGTGGGCACTTCCACCTGCTTCTGCACGGGTATCCTCAGGGGGCAGTGCAATCTGATCTGCCCCAAGATACTGAGCGTACCCCGCGCTCCCAGTACTTCCGGATTTGCAGCGACGATCCAGTGATGGTTTTACACCGATGTTGCTTGACTTTCCAAGTGGCGGGTCTTACCAAAAAACCTGACCCAAGCCCTTTCATGCTTCTGAGGCCCACAGCCAATCCTCATCTCCTCCGCTAACTCTCTTCCAGTTGGGTAACACTTCATCAGCTTCCGTCGAGTGAATGCCAGGCATTGGCGGTGTACTTCTCGTGACGCGGCTGTGTTCAAGCAGAGCCAAAAGGGTGCTGGTCTTTCTGACATCTCTTTGATGATGTGGTCCTTTGGCAAATTCAGTGGTGCCTAAAGAAGGTAACGCGGTGCTCTTGTGTTGCAACTATGCAAGAACCCCTGCTGTTCAGAAACGGATTGGGCAAGAAACAAAGCTCAAACCAAAGAACCTCCCCCAAAGCACCGGCCTAGGATGGTCTAGTGCGTTTTTGAGCGAGCTGTTTTCCGAATGCCTGAATGACTACCGAGTGCTTGTCCAGGCAAGATCTGGCTGGAATCACGCGGCCCCGACGTCCATCAGAGAACCCTCCACATCCAAAAGGCGAGGCTCCGCCAAACCCTACGTTGTAGACGGTTTAGGATGTCGGGTTTAAGGCCCGTATGACGCCAACATAAACCCTTAACTTTCAACTCCTCAAGCTCCCAAAACCCAAACATCTGCAATCCCTGGAATCTCTTAAGCACCCCTTAAAGGAGGGTTATATAGGNNGGGGATTATGTAGGGGAGTAGTATGCGGGTTATTTAGGGGGATACTAGGAGTTTCGACTACAACCCCTATAATCCCCTACATAAACCAAGCTTCCATGTCAGTTTCCTGCACATTGACCCTCCATGATTGGGGTGCTATCAATATCCCTAAACCTCCAGGGGGTTATATGCCCATATAACCCTTATGCGCAATCCCAATATATACCCCATTATGATATAGTAGCTTCAATTTTCGTCTCTATTCACCTACATACCTCCATGCAATCCTGTAGTACATGACTCTATAACTCTATATGACCTAAACCCTAAACCTAAACCCTGCACCCCAGGGGACTGCAGGCCCCAGCTCATTGCAGAAGCGCTCGCCGCGTGCGTCCAGCAGGAGCGCCCCAGCCCAACGAAACATTTCTCCCGCCATGGCCTGGTTTTGGGTGCATAGTCCCCCTTGAGTAGATAGAATATGGGGTATATGGGGAGCTTATAAAAAGATACCCAAAGCCATGTTCTATCTACTTAAGGGGGACTATGGGGGCGCTTAGGGTTTCGGTTTTAAGGTCAGGGGACTTAGTGAGTAGGCGATAATAATGGTGATAACTGGTGTTACTATATATTATAGAGGTCTTAAATAGACTTGCAGAGAGCCCAAGTAGAGTCAAAGTAACTAATAGGGTTAGGTGTCTTTTTACACTGCCCTATTTTGTCCAGGAAAGCCCTTTGGAATATGGGCTTGCAGCTTAGGATTTGAGGCTCAGGGTCTTGCGAATACGCTGTGGATGAGGAAATCTTACACAGGATTCCTGCCTACACACAAGTGGAATAGGGCTGTCGAGGAGTCGAGGACAGCAAAATGCTGGCACGTAGAGAATACATGCACAGAGTTCGAGAGACTGCACCTGCTGTTAATGGAAGAAAGCTTGAATCACTTAGGGTGGTGCGCACAGCGCAGATGCTTGGACTTGGGGAAGTGCAAGATTCTTCCATCAATGCCATTACATGTTTACATATATATATATAAACATGAGATATTTGGCACTCAAAAGAAGCGAGCCATTACTGCTTGAGGGATGGCTTGGAGGTCAAATAAAACTTACTCGCAAACCTACTCGTTAAACAAGTATCTCAATCCGATCCTGTTGAGCGGAATTGCCACTTCATGGCAAATGCGTGATCCGATCCTCCGGGTGCACAAACCTCAGTACGCAATCATGTTTGCACACCACAAGTGTTCCTGTAACAGTTGGGAAGCATCGTCAGGAAGCTTCTGCGCATGATGGACAAGCTTCTTCTGCTGCGGTGCACATGGCCAAAAACACAACTCAACTGCAAGTTGCATTCACCTTTACATTTGTAAAGTCAGACCAACAAGCACTGCATTGCCAGTGACCCTGTGGGGTGAAGTTGCACCCACTCCATGTCCAGAGTCTTTGCGCCGACGTCTTCACCTAGATTCGATTTTGAGGTTTTGCCTTTGAGACGTTTCTGTGGAATTCTGTAGCTTCCAACTTCTGCAGACTACCAAGCTCAGATGAATGCGCAACTTTACTGCTTCCAGTGGCCCAGCTTGAGCGCGTCGCCGGTGCAATGCTCTGCGCTTGCTGTTGGCAAGTTCATAAGGTCAGGCCGGTACTTTGCAAGCACTGACCCAGGACCGGCGCCTGCAGCAAAGCCACCTGGGAGATGCCAAAGCCTTGCTTTTCACGTTCTAGGCTTGCTGGTTCTTATAGGAATGTTGGCTTATTTAGAAATAATGGAAAGGAAAATGAAACCTACTACTTTACAGTATAGGGTAGAATGGGGGATAAAGAAATATATCATGCAGGGATTATATCAGGATTACGTTCCCTCATTCCCTACTCAGAACCAGTAAGTAGGTTCGTATTTGTCAAATGCTGCCCTGCCCGCGGACCTGTGCAGAGGATGACCGGGCCATACACTTTGCTGCTTCTCCCAAACTTCTGGCACTCACAGCCTCAACCAGGTTGCTTCAAGAAGTTTAGCGAACCGATCACACGGCAGCCACTCACTTTTTCTGTAAGGCCCAGTCCAACTACATTCTACATTGCCTTGCCGGCAAAGAAATCTTGAGACTTCAGCTTTTGTGACGACCCGGGCTCTATCCGACACCTGCAGCCCAGGACTTGAGCAGAACTCAGCAGCCAAACGGCCAAAACTCGCTCGCGATACTCCTGCCTCCGCAACCTTTTCAACACGCTGGATCAGGGCGCAGGTAATTGTCACGCCAGGCATGCCATCCCCAGTCCTTGACAACGCTCACTCGTGGACAGGACTCAGGTTTTGATTTCGACACGCCGGGCAACCTCTAATTGTGTCTTCCTGACTGTACCGCAGCGTTCCTGCAGGTCCGTGGATGTGAATGCCCAGCATGCTTAGCAACCACGGAGAAGTTCAAGTCGAATTGGTCCACCAGCCAGCTCATGTCAGGCAAGCTGTTTCGACCTGGATCCCACTAAGTCTTCACAACAAAAACGCGTTGCAATACAATCTCTTTGATGTGCCCAAGGACTTGAAAGATCCTGGAAGCCAAGCAGCCCAAAATTTCAGCCAACGCGGCAGTGCTCCGCCCAAAGGCTTTTACATCGTCCCGGAAGCTTGTGTTAGCATCGTCCTCTACACTCGTGCTATGTAAGGGAACGCTGCTGGCAAACACCAGCCCATCCAGCTTTAAGTCTTTGAGTGGTCCTGTGACTTTGGGAAGCTGATGCCAGCAGTAGCTTCGGCCGAGTTCCCACCACAGAACGGCGCCTGCACATGCTTGAGAAGAGCACAGGCAAATCAGTTGCGACACTCAAGCCTTGTCCAAAACCAGTACGCGTCCTCCGCGTTCCAAAACCTCGGCATGACTGAACTAATGAAGCCCAGCTTCGCTATTCAGTCTAGCTTGAGCAAGCAGTCGACTCCGGAGGCAAGACTGGCACTACACTTGAGAAGTGTCGGGACCAACGAGATCGTTTGGCCGTTGCATCTTCAAGGAGCCCCACAGATCTAGAAGTTTGGCCAATACCAACGTCGCCGAACCGGAAACACAAATCCTGATCCTAGGGAACCTTTTCTCCTGTAAGAGCCATGACCTTAGAACTGCTACATTACAATATTTAGCATCTCCACGTTGAAGCCCTGCAGTAAGGCGGCAACCTGATTGGCCACCACCATACCAGCCAGGCCACCGCCCACCTAGGCCAGCAGCTACGTGGAGGTTCAGAATACTGAGAAGCTTCTTTGAAGCTGTACAACCAGAATAGATGGATGAAACCTGCAAGTAGATGTATGCTTCAACCCCTCCGATTTGTTTGGCCCCACAATAGTGACCCGTTGTTCGAGAGACACCAAACGAGACAAGCAAAGCAAATATCCTCAAGGTTGATAACAAGTTGCCAAAATCCAAATTAGCCCCAGCCACCACTACCACGTGGCTTGCCGGGAAAAGAGCCATGGCTGTCAAAGCAGGCCCCCGTGGCTGCAACTTTTGCTTTATCTCAATACTACTGGTAAACCTAAACTTCATAGTGGTAGTGGTGGTAGTAGCAGTAGCAGTAGCAGTAGCAGTAGCAGTAGCAGTAGCAGTAGCAGTAGCAGTAGCAGTAGCAGTAGCAGTAGCAGTAACAGTAGTAGTAGCAGCAGCTGCAGCAGCAGCAGCAGTAGTAGTAGTAGTAGTAATCGTGGCGTAGTGTCGTCGTAGTAGTAGCGGCGTAGCATGTCGTAGTCGTAGTGGTAGTAGTAGTAGTAGTAGTAGTACTAGTAGTAGTAGTAGTAGTAGTCGTAGTAGTAGTAGTAGTAGCAGTAGTAGTAGTAATAGTCGTAGTAGTAGTAGTAGTAGTAGTGGTGGCATAGTATGATAGTATGGCGTAGTAGAAGAAGTAGTATTTGTTGTTGTGGTTGTTGTTGTAGTCGTCGTAGTAGCAGTCACTATACTAGAGTGACATAAAACAGCAAACATGATAGTTCCTAATGAATCATGAAGTCTAGGTCCGAGGTGGGCTTAGGGGAGTTGTATACTGAGCAATATTGGGACAGGGTCGGGGTTTCGCAAGAAGATCGTGGGGAGTCCAATTTTTCTTGTTTAAATCGTGTTGTTGGGTCCCTACTACTGTTTGACAATCATCCATCGGGGGCATTTCTCCAGTTAGCACTCACAAAGCCTCACTTTGCTTGCGAACTTCCATGAGCAGAGCAAACATATGGTCGCAGCATTGAAGCTTTGTAGGCGCTGTACGGACCTACAATTTTCCTTCAACATCCATGTTCAAACACTTGGTTTCGGGTTAAGGGCTAGGATGTTACCAACGACACTGGCTGTTTCTGCCCTGGCGGCAGCCCACTTCCAGATCGCTTCCAGATGGGACTGAAGCTTGCCCAAAATCGCAAGTTGCACGCCAGAACATGATATGGGTAGGTCCCAAAATAGGAAGAGGAGGGGGTTTAGAGGTTTAGGGGTTTAGGGTTTAGGGTAGTTCACAAATTAGGGCCCCATTTTGGTGTCCCTAAATAGTAGGTGTCGTAATATAATCTATAAGCAACAGGCGGAAAAATTAAGAGAACAACCCATATCCTGACAGTATAAACAAATTTGATACGTGTTTTCTCACTGCTACCGTTACCATAATTCGGAGAATTCTGGTTTTGACTCCATCGAAAGAACAACTTTGTGTAGAAAAGCCCCAAGGCATTTTCCAACACAATCTCAGCTTTTACCTCTGCAACCATGGCAGTGACTCTGACAGGGCTTGAGCGGTGACTGTGGCAGATGGTTCCGATGATATTCCTTATCCCGTATCATACAGCATTCACTCTGACGGGCACGAGCAGATCATAACTCCGTCGAAAGTTATGCGAATACATTTCTAGAATTGCTAGGAGGCTGAAAGTATGCCGGACATACACGCACTGAGCTGCCATGAATGAATTCCCAGGCTGCAAGCAGGGGATCCCGCAACATGGGCTGAAATTGACGCCATTCAGCCCCAACATCCCACTTCAATCCACGATTTCGCAGGCCCACGACTTTGCAAACGCATCCTTTATATCGAAGAACACCTGCCTGGCAGAGAAGGCATACCAGTACCTTGCCCTGCCAGACAACCAACCAAAGCTCCACAAGCAGCCTTTTCTCATCTTAACGCAGCCAGGAACCAGGATCATATGAAGAGTAGTCTCAGCTTCTACTGGAAGATATTGAACGTGCTGCAGAGCACGGTGACAGCTGGATGGCATCTCGTTTTGAGGCCTTGTCGTTAGACTTGTCTGCTTCAAGCCGCTTATAAAATACTGGGTCGTGTTACATGCCATGCATGTACGTACTGATGCTTGTTGAGCCAAAGACCCTTCTTCTGCCGACTAGTCGTGTTTTTTCCTATTTTATGTCATGATGTTCCCCTAAATTCTGCACAACCAGAAGTAGAACTAAAGCTCTGTGGGAAACACCCTCTCAAACTCCTGCTGTTGTCAAGCCAGTTCTTACCCTGGTCATTAACTCTAAGCTTCCTCTTTGGCTCTCATGGCCTTGACGAGGTCAGACTTGTACCTCAGGCTGCACCAGGGGTTGCAGCTTCTATAAGCAATTTGACTAAAGTCACATGTTGTAGTGCAGCAAGGTGCATGAAATATTGGCTCGAAGGCGAACAATTCCGGTAGATCAGCCTGGAGATCTCGTTCTCTACAGCGGCCTGCGTCATCTCTGCAGCATCTCTGTGTATTATGGGACCAATGGCTTTTCTGAACACTGTGCAAGGTTACAACACAGTGGCCTCATCACCAACGAAGTCCACCAAGCCTAACCTCGCAGCATTGTGTGGGGTTATATATTGGGATAATGGAAAAGGAAATGGAAATTACTATAAGGGGTCATATTGGGCTTACATTGGGGTTATACTAGGGTTATATTGGGGCTATATTGGGATAATGGTTGGATCATATTGAATTTCTTGCCACTCCACCTCTGAGCTTCGTTTGCATCGATGGGATCACCAACCAGCTGGAGCCGGCGCACCGCCTGATGCATCTCAGCCCAGTGTACTTTCTGATTGCACATGGGCTGTCCTCAAAATTGGGGAACCCCTTCAGAGGCACCAATTTCAGCACAGCAGCTACTATTTTAGAACCGAAGTGGGATCCGAATTTTGGAAACTGCCCACATCTGCTTGTATGAAAAGTTCACCAGTCTGTGTGCCTTTTCCATCATCCTCTTCTTGAGAGCTATCGGGGTGATCGGATGTAGATCATGCCCTGAGCGACGACACACCGAACTGGAGCGCAAGTCAGCATACATTCGGGGGACCTATACATAGCTATAGTCTAAACTCCGAGTATCCCCCTCAATACCCCCTATAGTAGTCCACTATATAAGCCCTATATAACCCTCTTTAAGGAGTATGTGGCCATCTCCCATCCGAGACGTATCGAACTCCACCAGCTTCACTGAGGAAGCCGCGATACTTCGGCAGTCCAAACCTTGGAAAGCTGAAGAGTCTTTGCTTGGTGATTTTTCTGAACACTGTACGGAGAACTTTGAAGTGCTGACCATGATTTTACGCAGCTGTCCCCAAACGTGAGCACGGAAGTGCTCCTGTCGGATTCTTGAACCTCTGTTGGTTGTGTTCAGCCTTGTGACGATCGACGTTAAGAAAGGTTCGTACGAAGAGATGCGAAGACCTCAATGGGTCCTATCAGGGATCACTGCATCCTTATGCAGCCTCATGTCCATCCTCATGCTTGATAATCAGCCGCATTCTCAGCCCTGCACGACGACTCAGTCGTGGCGAGAACCAGCTGGGAAATCGCTGGGAAAGTCATCAGCGAAGCACGCACTGGCCCCTCAGCTGAAGATGGCTTGCCACTTCAAATTCTGTCGAGTAGACTTTGCAAGTTGCAGCATGCCGAATTGCAATCTACACAAAGCTGCTCTGAAAGTCGCACTAGGGAATGGTGGGAGCTTCCACCTCTACACTATTCTTGATACTTGCGACCATCTACATCATTCTTGATACTTGCGTCCATCGCAGATTCTTGCTATACCGGACTCCTTAAATCAGAGATATCCAACAAGATGTCAGAGCATGGCCGTACTATCCTGAAGCAGCTACATTTCTCGATGGCAAGTACGCTATAGCAAACCGTTCCTCGCGGGAGGCTACTGTAATGACCCAACACCTGTTCTTAATGCCCGGAGCCATCCCGTCTCTCTCGAAATAATTGCAAGAAGCTGCCCAGCCTTGCACACGGAGACGATGAACATTGGTCTGCTTTGGACAATCTCATACACCTCAGGAATTGTTGCAATACATGAAGTTGCTGGAACATCGTAAACACTCATATACATCTGCCTCTCCTGTGGGAACCATGAAACATGCATGGAATTTCAGGTTGTTCTTCAGGCAGCCTGATGTAAGCCGCATGTGACTGAAGGGAAAGGGTGATTTGGGCGGATTTCTGCGTTCAGGAACTCAACACATCGCAGAATGTGCAGTTGCACTAACTTTTTGAAGGCGGTGGAAATCCGCCGATTGGTGGTGAATTTCTAAGATGTCCCCAAACACAGGGCTTGACGGGACACTCTTGCACGCCCGGAACCGGTTTTGGGCATTGCGGCCCGCCCAGAATCGGATTGAAATCCCTTGAGGCGAATGACAAATCTGCCCAGGGTTGGGTAGGCGGATCAAAAAGGCGGTTTTAAGCAATTGAGCAGCTGCGGTGGGCCGATTGTGTTTTTCCATGTTACAACGCACAAGTGTGTGTGTCTAAACATGCAAGTGGAAGCTTCCATGAGGCGCATCTGCTCCGTTTCCATAAGCTACTCTTCACCTAGTGCCACGTTTGTGGCATTCCCTGCCCCCTCCTCTCCCCACTGCAAGCAAAACAAATCCTCTCGCAACTCCTTTGGGCAAAAAATTGCGCGCACTGGTATGCGGTATACAGTATATACGCCTCCATCCAGGAAAGACTGCAATTATTGGGGCCAATGCGCTAAACGAAGCATAGTGCTGATATGCCCGCTGTCAGTGAGTCAGCGGGTGAATGAGTGAGTGATTGTCGTACAGGATGGAGCATGCAGAGCCATGCTTGAGGCATCACCCTCCACTTGGTATTCAAACTGGCAGGACGCCCCAGGACTATCCCAGTTGAGCACACTGGCGCTCCAGCATCTGGCAAAAGGCGTG